CCTCTGCACGGCAGGCTGCTGCGCTGTGACCTGAGGCAGCACACACACAGAGCGCGCTACGATGGGATTTTTGGCAAGCTGGGACAAGGCACACCAGGCTGTGCAACACAGGCTACGGAGACGTGGATGGCTTTATGGGCACCTGAGCCGGTGTGACCACAAACTAACTCCTTAGTCCCAAGGAAGGTAATGAAACACCTGAAGTACCTGCAACTCTTTACGTGGGCACGTTGCTTCCATCCGTGAAGTGCAAACAGTGAATAACGAAGCAGCAAAGCTTGCAGGTTAATTTTTTAAGCTAATCAATATCAGTCAGCAGCACAAGATGTTTTAGAGGAAGTCCACAAATAGCATCGGCCAAAGAGCTAATGAAAAGCTGAAATTACCATTTTGGAAAATGCTCTCCATCTCCCAAACAGCTCATCTAACAAAGCGAACGAGCAGCCCAGCGGCAGACGGAATTGAATGTTGACAAATGCACAATACGGCGTGTCAGGAGGACTGCTAAACAATTCAAGGTACTTTATGGGTGCTGAGTTTATGGAAACCATTTAAGGCAAGACACTCTCAAGGAAAGAGGTTGCTGCATGTTTACCAATGGCTGAAGAAGGCAGCAAAGCACTAGTGGGGGGAGCAGTGGAATAGGAATTATTCAGTTGTTTGTATCAATACGACGTGAGCTGGAAAACCACGTCCATACCGCATGTGCTATTTCTATGAGCAGAATGGAGAATTCAGTTCAAAGACAGATGATGTTTAAATAGAGATGTAACACAGGATAGAACATCAACAAAAGCACTGCGGATGCCTGTATGAGCCCTGTCCTTTCCTACGCAGGAACACTCAGATAAAAACCAAAAAACCCAAAAGGCAACAATTTCAACAGTGATTAAGAAAGATTACATTACTGCATTAACCTACAACAGCCACAGACACCAAACCACCCGTCTGCAGAGCTGGCTTGGGAGGATTCCTGCAACACCGCCACAGCAGATAGCTGCACTGTAGCCAGAAACAAACGTGTGTTGGGGGACACCCCCACCTCCCCTCACCCCCCCCAAACTGAGATGCTGCCACAGACTCAGTGGTGGTTGGTGGCAAAAGCTGAGCTGGCTGCTCCAAGTCAAATCCAGGATCCGTCCTGGACAGAGCAAACACGGACACACATTTGCTTCCTACTGCCCCAGCTGAGCCTGCGGAGAAACAGAATCGCCTTTTTCTCCCTTTTTCCGAAGAAAAGGGGCAGGGAAAGACAGAAGAGCTCTCCCATGGTGTGTGCTGATGAAGACAAGCACGCAACCTCCATCCCCACGTGGCTGCTAGGTGTAAGCAAGTAACCGCAGAGACTTTTCTTCCTCCCACTCTATCTCCAGCTTCGGGAACGAAGGCGGCTCTAACAGTAACGCACCCCAGAGCGCCCCGCCGGCCCGCCGGAACCGCTGGGCTCAGCTCGGGTTAGAGAAGCTGGAAGCAGGCGTTTCGGGGAAGCAGCTACTGCGGGCACGTGGCAGTGCGTGCCAGCAGCTGTCAGCCAGGGCAGCCGCCAGCCCCAGCCCCGAGCGCATCCCCGGGCCAGCCTCCGCAGCGCACGGACCAGTCTCAAGAGCAAGAGGCTGCTGGAGCATTCTACCGGGAAGCGGGGCACCCCTCCGCTCGCCCCCAGCTCCTTTCAGTTTGATGATCAGGCACTGATGTAACCTTCACCTCCCAGTACTATCAAAGAAAAAAAAGCAACAGATTTTTTTTCTTTGCCTCGTTAAGTATTCCAACATCGAAAAAAAAAATAATAATACGGAGAATCATTGTCTTGCTGCACATCATTTTCATTTGTGTTGTGCTCCTAACTGCTCCGTATTCCCCGTTCAAAACAAGCAGACTGCTGCTTTGAGTGAAAGATGGAACACCGTTGGGAAAATCTGCCGGCTGATGGCTAGACACTTTTCAACAGACGTGAAATACCTGGGATAATAGCTTTTATGGTTTCAAAGGAAATGTGCTGTAAAACTGCCTGACGGCAGGAGTTAGGAGTTCCTGACACACTAACACGAGGGGTCATGATTCACCGGGTGTCACATGGCGAGCAGGACATAAAATCCCATCCATTTGTTAAAAGCCCATATTAGGCACAGGAAGGCATTAGTGCTCCGCTGAAATGGTTGCATTGTACGTCCTCTGTAACTGTCAGCCAGCTCTACATTAACAAGTTTCTAAAGTGTATGTAAGCATATCTAATGAAATATGCAAGCTGAAAGTATTAGGAGAGTATGGAGTCGGGAAAAAAAAAAAGCTATATTCTTGTCAAAATGACTAACTGTACAGTCCTGCTCATATTTATCTTCAAACATGTGCTTAATCTTTTACATTTTTAAGGACCTTCTACTAAAAGGAGCCATTTAGTTTTCTTCTGTATTTTGAAATCGCTTCGTGCAGAAAACCACACACCAAGTTTGCATAAAACATGTGAATTTTAAAAAAAAAAAAAAGGCATTGTAAACCTTCCGCCCAGGATCCCCCGAGATCCGTAACACGAACTGCTCCTTGCTTCACCCACCTACAGCAGCAGCGCACCTCATTTTTCCAGAAACATGGTTGTCAAATGTTATAGCAAGGAGACCCACTTTAAAAAACACTTTTCAACTTTTATCTCCCCATTGAACATTTCTCTCCGCATCATCAATAAATCAGGGTGAAGACAACACCCTCTGGATGCAACATTTAAAGAGAGATCTGCATTACAAAGATTCACTTCCAAAGTGACACTGTTTTATTTAAAACCTCGCACTATGATTTTACATTCAGAGAAGGACTGAAAAGCAAGCGACAGATGTACAAAATAAAGTCCACGATCCCAGACTGAACCTACCTGCATTTCAGGGTCTCTCTTGAAGGCAGAACCTTATTACTAATGCTGATGTTCGTCTGCAACTTGGGTGTGGACCGAGACCAAAGGCACTTTAGCTTGGCCCAACCCAGTTTCTGAAGTGGCTCAGGACAGGCAGATGCCGTGCACAAAAACCCCGCGCTGCCCATACTCATCCAATCCTACAAGGATTCTTTTCCAACACTTCTGTGCCCACAGCACAACAACAGGCGCAACAGCCGGGGCCAGCACAGCACATAACTCGGGTCGCTGCGGGCCTTGCTCAAAGCCTTCATCAGCTCTGACTGGACGACGACAAAAAACACTACAGAGTTTTCACAATCTCCCCATTCAGTCTATGGGGCATTTGAAAATTGTTACTATTAAAAAGCGGCCTCAAAAATAGTATTAAAAGTTGTGCAATGGGCCACATGCACTAATTACAGTGCTGCCCCCGCAGCCTCGTCATTGCTTGGGCAAGTACTGGGCATAGTCTGAGCATGACAGAGGCGACATGAATTCATTTTCGGTCCTGTTCAGTTACAGAAACTGGCCTAGATACTACGTGACGTGAAGTGGTGCTGGCATATTGCTACCTTAAAATGGTAGGTGCTTGATTTAAGCCAAGGAGCTGCTAGTGTTACTGTTGGGCATATTTAGCTGCTTACGCTGCTTAGGGTGGCAGGAGAGCAGCTAGAAAGGAAAGGCTAGAATTTTCCAGCAGCAAAACTGGAAAATCTGCTAAAAAAACCCCAAACCTCAAAACTAAACACATTTTCTTCTGTTCATCATGTCTGCAGTACTAAAAAGATCTCCCACGGCTCATTTGTGCTGGAGGCTTATGAAAATGAACTGTGACTTACATGGTCAGCAATAGTCCGTCCCAGCTTGTCCATCCTTGACCCAGCCTCTGCAATCTTCTTGGCTGCACTAATCACATCTGACGTATTTTTCAGCGGACCTTTACCTCTGCAAAACAGAACGGGGTCTACCTTCTAGCACCAGAAGACTGAACTATATTTTGCTTTTCTCATTCTGTTCCATACAGTACTGGAAGCGATTCCTGACCCAAACGCTATGAATAAGGTTGCACAGAAATAGGCAGGTGTAACCATTACAGCACCTTCGTTTTCAAGACAGCTTCCTCCTTCCAGCTCCCCCCCCCCCCCCCTCCTATTTAGATTAAATCTAGGAATAAAAACATCTTAAATTTTACTGGTTTAAGCAATCTAATGATGAAAAACAGATAACATTTTAGAAGACAGATTTGCAATTTTCATGGAATGCATCATCAAGTTTAAAAAATAATGTTGTATAAAATCTGGTAAATGAATTTCAAAAGGCATCAAAAAACCTCTCTTTCTTTAGCAAATAACTGTCCTAGGAACTATTTCTGCAGTATAGCAATATTGAGAAGCCCATAGAATTTAATGTGGTAAAGAACTGAGCAAATATAAATATATACTCCTTGGGACAAGAATCACCCTTAAGAAAGACAGACAGACAGGCAATAACTGCTGTGCATCGATAGATCAATTCAAGCAGTTATTACCACCCAGTCACTGCACAGTAATGCATCTCCCGAGTTAATACACAGGCTTTAACAGAGTAACATTTAAAGGAAATTATAAGAAGTAAGACTCTTAAGAGTACTTGCAAAATATTTCATTGAAAGACCAGCATCCCAGCCAGTTCTGAGAGAACGTGTTGTGTGCACAAATTAAAGAGACTCACCTGGTGAAGTCTGTCATTTCCATCATAATCATACACATTTGTTTTGCCAGAACAATAATATCATTACCGCTGTCATCCCATTTTGATACTTCAGCATCCAATTTACTCTTTTCTTCCTGGAAGCTTGCAACTTGCTCAGCAATCTTAGCTTTTTGCTCTTGAGGGAGCTGAGCCATAATAGCCTGAAAGAGAGAGTTTTCTCACATTGCCTTATGCCGCCGCTTGTAGAAGGCTTTTTGGAACATTTCACTAATAACCAATTTAAGTCATGTAGATGGGGGATAAAACTTTAATAGCAATCCTCTACCTAGAGGCTTGACAGAACCATTTCCTTCCATTTTGAATCAAAGTTTAGGCCCTTTCTTTAGAAAGAGTGCCCAGAAAGGCAAGCCAACACCTGAAACATGGGCATTTGCATGAAAAAAACCTGTTAAGACTCCAAACAAGTTTGCCACGTATTACCATCCCTCAAAGAAAATCTGTAAGAAGAAGGGGGACTTGCCTTTTCTATAAAATTTAAGAGTTTTAAGAGGAAGTTCCACTTGGGTTTCTTTCAGTATTGCAATGCACAGAGTCTCTTTCCTGCAAAAAGCTAGATGTACTATTTTGAAACATGCATACTGAGGAAAAAGTGAGTGAAAAAATAAAGAGTACGTGCTTACTCCTGAATAAAAACTATTAGACTAGGTTTACAGCCCATAGGAGACTCAACACCCTTGCCTTCATAAATACTAGGAGCTTTCATGCCTCCAGGAGCACGTGAAAGCAGTCTTCAGTACAAAAAAGCTTCTGGCAGCAGCAGCAGCAAAAGGTAAATGAGAAACGTCTGCGTTTAAATAAAAAGAGGGAGAGAGATAACAGGGATAGAGAGTGCTTGCAGAAGGAAGGAGAGCACGAAAACCACTCTCGGTGTAATTCCGAAGCCAACGTGGCAGAAGTTTGATAAATAAGGCCTAGCTGCTTCTTGCCTGGTTTCAGGCTAGAAGAGCCTTCACAAAAAATCTTCCATGGCACTTCCCCAAGAGCATAAATTGTTATCGATCCAGAAGGGGACATGTCAAATAGAAACAGTAAGTAAGGCCTGCTTTTCCTTCAATGTACTGATTTTAAGTTTTCACCTATTAATGATGCCACACTGCCTACCAATGCTTTCATTTTCAGCAGTCATAGGAAATACAGTTAGTTTAAATGATTTCATTTTTGAGCTTCTCTCAACATTGTCTTGGTAAACGCTCAGCGGACAAACGCTCAGCAACACGTGTGTGGGAAGACATTTTGTGAAGATTTCTCGCCCACAACCTTAGTGTGTGTTTGTGTGTTGAAAATAACAGGGCAACGGAATGATTTGCCCCCTATCTCCCTGCAGCAGCTCACCTCACCAAACAGCAGGGCCTACAACGTCTGCGATGTCAAAGCATCAAGTATTAAATGGATTTCACTCTTTCACAGCATCCAGAGTAAAACACAGATGCGTCTCACATCCGTCAGACTAACACATGCTGCACTTCACTTAACCTCCTTTTCAGAAGAAAACTGGAAACAAGGAACGCCAGTCTTCTGATCCACCACCCCCAAAAATTCAACCTGGATTTTCAAAGCCTCTTGAAGGCAGGTCACAGTTTTGTAACGCTTAGATTTCCACCTTACCCTCGCGCTTTGTCCAGCAATGAGCTGGTCATCTTCAGTCTGAATACTTGTTCTGCTTCGGGCATCAAAATCCTCAGTCTCAAAGTCAGAATCATCCAGTTCTTCAGGAGTCTGAGGAAAGAGTAATCCAGTCGGAGTCAAACAACAGATTACATGGCTCCAAAAATCAACCAGAATGTTGTTTTTCAAGCAGAAAGAATGGAAATTGGCAGAGGTAAAGATTATTCCATGTTTTCAACAAAAAGGTAAATACAGGGGCTGTATCCAGCTTGTGAACACGTGCGATTATATTGGCTTGACTGCTCGTGTTAAACACCACAGGGATGCCCAAAATCACATCCCAGTAACTAACCATCTGAGATCTGTCAGGACACTAATGCACTCAGGATTTGAAACACAGGGAAAAAAAAAGTTTTTGCAAAACGAACAGCGTTTTTGCAACTTGGTTAAATGTAAAAGCTTCACTTGAGATTCTGAAGCTAAAATTACACACAGCTTTAAGGCCTGGTTCAAAACCACAGACATCGTCTTTAGCACAATTATGAATCAAAGCATCGACTAAATTAACAACAGATAAAATATATCGAAATTTATTCTTATCCCCCAGGAAAAGCAGAAAATTTTTAGCTAGTATGGGCCAGCTTTTACGCTGTAGGCTAAACACATCTGACCTAGTTCCTGCTTGCCTAGGATTTATTTTTGCTACTGCCAGTCTATAGCTGGCAAACTTTTTATAAAGCTTATCAAGTTTCAACAGCATGTTTGTCAAAATACTACATCTTTGCCTAGAGTGGCACTTCGTGACGATTTTGCAGAGCTGGATCAACAAAGAACTTCACTGATAAATGCAATAAATTGCGATTAACAGATAAGATGCAAATAAAGTCCCTGTTCTTCAGATTTCTTTCCTATGATTCGAATTTTACAGACTTGTTTTCCGATACAGACATCTTGTGATACAGTTAAAATAGAGATGGATACACAAAACAGTTGCCAAAAAGCAAAGGTGAGTATGTTAATGATCAAGACCTAGGGTATTTCAGCCACCATCTCCTCTCCGTGCCCTGAAGAACAGAATCTATCAGCATAAGGATGCATACTAAGAAGTATTTCAGCGTATCAATATTTCTAAAATTAAAAAAACCCAAACCAACAAAACAAACCACTTCTGCTGCGTCTTCAGAAACTTGTTTATGATTCTCAAGCCCCCTTCTCTGCCCACCCATCCCAAAGCCCAAACAACCTGGGGTCTACAAAGCGTAATTCTGCCTTTCAACCCGTCATCAAGGGCAAGAACTCCCGTGGGGGTGATGAGAGGCCGCCTGGGGATCAGGGAGGAAAGAGCTTTACTTCAACAACCTACAGATACATCGAGATTTTAGTTCTGAAACTACACTGCATGAACACAAGAACCAGGTGTTCGAGTACTTTTCCTTCTGTTTCCTGTGAAGAACAAGTGCCCCCGGACAAAGTTTGAATCAGCTCGTTTGCCCCAGCTGCGAGCATGGTTACTCCTGTGGTCCAGCGTGAGACCAAGCCCCGGAGAAGTGGTGGTATCTCCATCTCCACCTGGTTCTCTTACCCCAGGTACATTCGACAGCCCCTTTGGACAAAAAGTATTAACATTTACACTTTTTTTATAGGTCGCTGATGTGTCACCAGTGAGCTGCCGTTGGCTACTGGGAGCTGAAATAAAGCCCTGGAGCCCTGACACCAGAGACGTGGTGCAAGGGGAAACGTCAGGATTGCCGGCGCTGCCAGCGCGGCTAATGACTGACGACGTGGAATTGGCAGCCATGCCTTCGTGGCCTGAATAAAAGGACTTTAGCAGGGGGTGAGTCACATTCGTTTGTCTGCATGGCAGGAAAGCGTCGCTATCTTCATCTATGGGCTGTCTACAGATCCCAAGCTTAAGTTTGAAAAAAATTATATGGAGAGCACATATGTCGTTGTCAGCTTTTCTTCTGATTTTCCATCTGATTCTTTGCTTTAAACAGCAAACATGGAAGACACTATTGCAATGGTTACTACAATCACATATATTCTGGGGCTGTACATCCTTACTTATCACCAAAATGCATCTGCCACGGTCACCATTCTGAAAGACAAAGACAGCTTCTCCGCAAGGCATTTACATTTGAGTCAGAGGAGTACAGGGAAAAAACCAGGGGAAAAAAAAAAAGGAATAAATCCCCCACATTTGTTTTTGCTGTGTCTGTCTCCTGCCCATTTTTAACGCGCTAAGATTCAAGAAATAGGCCCACAGGTCAGCTTTAACCAGAACTTTCTTTCCTGCTTCCCTTCACCAACAGCAGGAGCCCTTCGGTGTCTTCCCCAAACGCCTCCTGCCAGTCTAACGCTGCCTGACCTACCAGAAATTAGGATTTCCAAGCCACACTCACTGCGCCTGAGACACTCAAGCACAGAAGAGGCAACGCCTCTATGAACTGATCCCTGTTTACCGAGGTCAGCCAATTAACAAATTATATGCTCTAGGAACTGCAGAATGAACTCATCTAAACCTGTTTTTTTACTAACTAGCATTAATTCTCAAAATTTACTTAATGAAGAGCCATCAGGTTTTATTTCTACGCTCTCAAACCATCAAAAAGCATCTATAGTTATGAATCCACGCGCTGTCGTTGAATCAAAGGTCACCGATTTTAGCACATTAACAAGCAAGGCATTAACAAGATAGTACAAAAGATGCGTGAAGGGTATTTAGCACCACAACTCTGGCTATCATTGATGCTCAGATCTGTTTAATGAATTTGAATCAAAACGTACTTCTAAAGTACTCCACAGAGTGATTAGCAGCTTTTAAGGCTCAGAACGTTAATATCAGCTAAACGAAAATCTTAACGCTGTCTGTTCTCAATAAAACTGATGCCTGTCAGCGCAATAACGGCGGGGGAAAGCGAGCAGAGAACCAGAGAGCTGTAAGCACGTTATGCTCACCCGGATCATCAGTACGGCTTTCCTGATATCTCGTATTCCATCATACACCAGTCGCGAAGCATCGATAAATTCGTTTTCGTCCATGGGCTGAGCAGGGTCTGAACTCAGAGCTTCCACAGCAGCTTCTACTTGCTCAGTAAACCGCGGCATAACTGAACCAAGAGCACAAAATAAGAGTCAGTCCCCATCCCAACGCCGCCTTCTGTAGAAGAAGCGCCTGTGCCTCGTTGCTACCTCTGGAAGCTGTGCAGTGGTTCCGCTTCAATTCAAACCTTTTGTTACAGAAGGACACCAACGCTGTAGCTCAAGTCTTACTCCAATTTCTGTTTACTATGGTGCTGTTTGGTTTTTACCCCTTAGACAGTGAGAAGTTCATCACACCCTTCTAGTGGACAAGGAGAAAGTACCTGGGGAAGCAGTTAGAAACTCTGGGATTTAACTCATTTATTTAATGCTGCAGATGTACAGAATTGGGCAGGGGGGGGAGAAATAATATGAGCACAACGAAGCTCAAGTTTAACAGGGCGCTGGAAGAGGACAGGTTGTGCTGCCGTACTCCAGCGACTCACTGCGCCCCAGGACATCACAGAACCATTTACACTCTGTTCGTTTCTTCAGTGTCACCTTTGGTGCTTCATCAAAGTAATTACAGCAAAAAACCACCAACAGTTGACACAGCACTCACTGAAGCAACGAGAATCATTCCTTACCCTATATGGATGTTACCAGCTACTTCACAGGAAACAGCCCAATTTATTGTTTAACTGTGGGGGGTCTACAATGTACAGTGTTTCTGTAACAGCTATAAAGGTATTTTAAAAAATTTACCCTAAATTATTACCCAAAACTTATTCTACTGGGCCAACGTGGCAGAAATCATCTTTCTGGATGCCGAACGCTTGCAGAGCCTGGTACAATACTGCAAGACGATCAGTGTAACTTTCAAGCCCTGACTCCCTCGTGTTTTAGCTTTCCACAGCCCAGTCAATGACAGCAAACACATTCAGGGAGACCTTGTGCACTGCTGAGCTTTAAGCCAGTCAACACAGCAAAATTACATTTCTCATTTTGCAACAGCTCTGCGAATAACTCCCGCTAATTTTCATCATCGTATGTAAATGGAGTCTTCAATCGATTTCACAGGTACATTAGTATCCCCCTGCCTGTGCACTCATACGCAGTATGAATTCAGGGATCTTGGGAGTAACCGACTCTTACCTGTGTTGGACAGTAACTTCGTTGCTTCCAACACCTTCTCAGTGTAGACGCCAGGTTCGTAGTTATCCATTTCAGAAGTGACGACATGAATGACTCTAGCAGCACGTCCTCGAATGGCACCCGCCGTGCGGTCTAAACCATCAACATCTTTTTCTTGGAGAGCAATGACGCATTTGTTTACATCTTCCAAAATATGATTCTCTGGTGGTAAAAGAAGGAGGATTTAGACGGTAGTATCTCCTTTTCTGTTGCAGCCATCAGCATTGCAATTTCTCAGTCTGTGACCTGCCCCATAAAACCTCCAGCTGGGTACTGTAAAGCATCAATTTTTAAGCCTGCTACAACCAGCACACAGCTGCCCTTCCAAACTAGGTGTCAAAAAACCCATCAGTCCATCCACCTACGGGCATCCACACTTCTTGCCCCTGTTTGTATTCTATTTTACCAACAGAAAACCTGAGTTCAGCTGAATTCTCTCCTACTGCGCTTCTTTCCATATTCCTCCCCTGGACTGTCAAAGCCCTTATTCCAAATATTTGCAAGCCACTCCCCTGTCATTCCACGTGTATGGGGTGCTGAGGCACCCTCCCCAGCGCCACACCTAATCCACCCAATGCTCTAAAAGACTCGGGCACTTGTTGCACGTTGCTAGCTTCCTACATAGTGTTTTCCTACAACCACACACACACACCATCAAAGAATATTAAACTGTTAGTCCTCCATTCAAATTTAAGACACATAACATATGCGGTGATTTATGCAGAACGCGTTCCAGCAACAGCGTACTCACTGCCTCTTAAGAAAACAAAAAATAAAGTCAAGAACTCTGCTTGTAATTTACTTTTAGAACATACATTTTCTTTTCTATACAAAGATATTTTCTCCCATTTATCAAGCCCAAGACACCCAAAATGAGTAAAACCCCCTAAGAGATTTCTGAAGATGCCTAAAGGGGTTGGGATCCTCATTTGGGGGAATCAACCCAAAAGGTTTTCCAAACTCCACCACAGACCTCTTTAATGTATCGGTACCAACACTTTGATATTGCCATCCAACATCAGCACTTGGGCTGCTTGGGAAGAAACCAACTTGGAAACATTTCTGTTCCGTCACTTAAAATAGTTTCCAGCGTTACCTACCATTGACTTAATCACGCTACGCTGCCAAGCCGTGCCACTGAAGCGGCTTTTATTCCCCACACAGGTAGTAAAAGAGCAATTTCACAAGACTTTGTAGAGATGAGAAGCACATAGAGTTGACTGATAGAGGATTTGTATAAACTGCCTGAAAGGACTGCTGCTGGAAGTGTTACGCTTAATTTACATAAAATTAACAGAGCCAGGTGCAATATCACAAGACTTCTGTAAGCAACCTGGACAAAAATACACTTGTGAAATACCTCTGAAGCAACTCAGCCTGAACAAGTTCAGCTGAGGGCAGAATGTGGCCCTAAGAGAGAGAAGTGCAGGTTCATTAGCGATTTGACAAGTCAGTGAGCAGGCAGCCAAGGTGCACGAGCTGCAGCAAAGCGCACGCAGAGTTTCAGTATTTAAAGCAAGAGACAGACATCCCTGCAAGACAGACATCCCAACGGCAAAAAGGCACTGGCATCAGGCCAAAACACAGGCTGTTTATTGCTTGAATTCCTCAACGAATACATTAAGCCACAGACCATTTAAAAGCCTCTTTGGATTATACGAACTTTAATAAAAGGGACGCACAAAATGAAGATGAATATTTAAATGCCTGATAATCATTTCGTGTCTTTGGCAGAGGCGAAGTGGCCACAAAGACATTTCTAGGGAAAAATAACCTCCCCATGGGGCAGTCTGCAAGGGGCCCCGGGGAAGTACAGGACTGTCAGGTGCAGCCACTCCGGTTATACTCTCCCGTTGGATAGTAACAAATAAGATTTGACACTGTTCTGTGTGCTTGTATATGCACACACTGCTACCTGTCCTACAGGCATATGGAGCACAAGTGTCTGGTACAAAATGCCATCTCCTGGGGCCGGGGTGGCAGAGCCCAAGAAACGCTGATGCACGGGTTCACCACCAGAACCCTCGGGGACGTGATAACGCCGTCCTGCAGCACAGCTCAGAGCCTTCCTGTTGCTGGGCAGGAGAAAAATGTCACAGCCACAGAATATAACATAGAATACAACACAGGCAACGGCAAAGGGATCTTGTCCTACAGAAAATACAGGGAAAAAATGGTGTGGTTTGGGAACAAGGTAAGAGGGTAAGAGGAAAGATACTTTTCCAATAAAAATGATTTTTTAGAGCAAACAAGGAAATAGATTAAACTGAAAAGCTAACAGAATGAAAAGTCCCCCGCAACTGTCAATCCTCAATCCACCCTGCCCAAACACCTTCCACCTGCCCATTAAAGGGATTAAGAAATCCTTTTCCAAACATCCCAAAAAGCCTGCCAGGGAGTCTCAGGGCTACAGGAGATCAAAACTTAAGAGCAACAGTCACGAGATAAAGCCACAGACGCACAACTTTAACTCTGCTCCTTTGCCGCGTCCCCTGTGGAAGGCCTTAGAATAATTTCCATGCTGGACAAGGGAGAGTGGAGGACCCAGGTCAAGCAGCAGTGTCAGCAGGCACTGTTACAGAACAAATACCCGAGTGCTCACACCCTTGTAAATACAGTGTTCATCTCGTAATGAAGGGCAATCATCGGGCCCAGGCAATATTCATCTGGAGGCTCTTCAGACGAAATAGCTCCATTGTGATGGGCAGTCTCTCGTGTAAGCCTCTGTCAGCAGCAGAGGAACAGAAGGCAGCAAACGGAATGATTTTTAGAGGGTTTCAAAGGAGATCCAGGTAATTTCAGAACATTGAATTTGACAATTACAGGGTGCTATCAGCAACTGCTCTAAAGAGCAGAGATAGTGGGCACACAAACACACCCAGAGTACTTAGGGAAGGCACTGACAAGAGGGATAAGAATTACAGAAGGTACAGAAGAGCTTCGAAATGAGGAATAATGAAACAGGCAAAGGCTTTGCAGTTCAAGAAAGAGATGACTTGACTAAGCATACGACAGAAGTCTGTACATTTACAAACAGCATGAAGAAAGTGAGTAGGAAAAAACCCTCTTCATCATCTTCTGCTACAACTAGGGGCCTCAAAGGAAGCAAACAGGCGACGCTGCAAAAACAAGGAGGTTCTTCACACAGAGCACTGTGAATTTTACACAGGATGATGGAGATGCCAGCGCATTATAATGGTCGAAAGAGCAAATAACACAAGCTTCAATGAGAAAAATCTGTCAAGGACTGTTCAGTAGGCAGCATCTCTGATGCTGGAGCAACCTGAGCTGCAAATCACTCATGGTTGGGAGTGTATAGGAAAGATCTTTAGGCTACAGAACTCCTCTGCTATTAATCTCCTATGCCCTGACCATCAGCCACTGACAGACGGTTGTCCTAACTCAACAGGACTCTTCTCGTGCTCTGTCCTTCACAAAATGTTGTAGCCTGCAAGCTTGTCTGCAACACCGTGCATTTAAGTACCCTTCTTCTACGATATTCTGCTACTATCTGAACCCAGCATCTCTTTCATCAAGCCCTTACTGTGGATAATCGATGCAATTCTCTACCATATGCTGATCAATGAAGCATATAGTTCACGATGGACAGCACAACACGTTGGAGAAATGTGTTGGGTTTTGTTATATGAACATACACACACAGAGTCACAAGAACTCTCTTAAATTTTGCTTACATCCCAGTTAGTAACTGATACAAACGGAGAAACATCCTAATAACTCCAAATGGAACCTGGTAGAAATCATACGTGTCACGATTCTGTCCAAAGAGATGTTTAGACTTTTAGAAAACAAATTGGAATTGTGGCATTTATATGGAAAACATTTGTCAAAGTTCAAACAAATAATATTTAAAACAATGTTTATTGCTTTAATATTTTTCTAACATCTCTTGGATAACACAGCACATACAAATAATTGCTGAAGGCACTTGAGCATCTGAAGTAGTCTCAAACTGCAGCATTTCCATGGCATCATTCTGGGTGGCAAGCGCACGCGTGAGGTGAACTCTCTTCCGAGTCAGCCTGCCACTGCCTCAGAAAAGAAGCGTTCCCTGCTACCTGCCAAGCCCTTGAAACTCTCCAGAGCAACTCAGCAGTGGGCCAACACCACAACCTGTCCCCTCAAAAGCAGAGTACCCATCTCCTCGAATGACCTAAACAAGGATGCAGACCACTCAGTTCCAGCGGCTTGACCCGTTTTGAGCCACGCCTGCCAGGGAAATGCAGTAAGGCAGCTTTCTGCAGACCGTGTTCTCACAGACTAACAGCTTTTTCCCTTTAAAATGTTCCGTACACTTGTGGGCAAACTCCGAGCGGAGCTGTGAACTTCAGCACACAATTCTCTCTAAATATACTTCCCCAGAAATAGGCTGCTCACAGCTGTGCAATTTCGACTACCGCTGCAGCGATGAGCACACAGACAGATACAAAGAACTAGGACATTCAATTGCCTAGGAAGTTTATGCTAACTCATTGCAAAGACAATTTTTATTCAGAACCCAGGGAACCACAACACAACATGTATGGTAAGACAGGTGACTCATGGTAGAAACACTATGTGGGTGGGTTTTTTTAAACAATTAAAAAAAAAAAAGATGGTCTTTTAATTCAGGATCTTAATTTTTCAGCTACATTTTCTAGCTACGTCCACCCAGTACTTGTGACTCTACACCTCTTCCTACGAAATCTCTTTACAACTGGAGTTTCTGGTTCACTTAAGACGCCCAAGCCTGTTTGCACCAGGAAAATGAGACCCTCAGTTTGTGGTAGTCATTTGCAACCACTACTGCAGACACGGTTCACGCAGTTATATCACCATGCCCTCCGACTAGAGCAGAATTAGAGGATGTGGAAACAAAGACATCCCCCTTATTCCTAGGTCACAGCAGCTAACCTTTATCAATGACGCTGATAAACCAGATTATCTTGGCAAGCACTTTGCCAAATGGAATTATCAATCTATGATAATGATCTAACCTTTTTTAAAAACTTTAACAATTCTACTAAAGCTGACATGGTTAAACATTCACAAAGTATTTTCTATATGAACACTTTTGTTTTAATTAACTTGTATGACCATGATTTGATATTCGTTTTTGTCTACATAAGAGGCCAAGGTGAACGGAGGGATCATCTTTTTTGCTAGTTGGTAACTTGAACATAAACACCCTCTACTTCCCCTGGTGCCACCGGTGAGGTCTGTCTGCAGTAGCTGGATGGTAACTCACCATTAGCTCACCTGGAAATTCAAAAGCTTGAGACAGGGACATTTGCTACGTTTAAGCTGATCTATGTAGTGACATGTAAACACACACATTTATGCATGCACACGCCGCAA